GTACCTAGCACATAGTAGGCACTAGTTCAACCTCAATTACTTATCGAAAATGTGTGATTTACCAGACTGGGCCATGCGCTCAGAAGGGTACTTGGTTAAATGTTCTGCTGTTACCATCTTGAAACTTTTTTGAATAATTTTGTCTTTGAACTTGTGTTTTTCAAGTAAAGTCCAGTGGGACAACAGCATGCATGGGAGCAGAGATGTGTGATATGCACATCCACCACGGTTCTTTGCCACCTCTTTTGCATATAGTATTTGTGATTTCCTATGAGCATAGAAGGATGTCTGGTGGTACAGAGATTAAAGTGATCAGGTGCTAACCAAAATGTTGGCAGTTTGAACTCACCAGCTCTAGGTGGAAGAAAGATGGTGCCAGTCTGCTTCCCTAAGGATTTACAGGCTTTGCAACCCTATGGGGCAGTTCCACTCTGTCCTATAGGGGCCCTATGAGTGGGAATTGTGGCTCCACGATGCATGGGATTCAGTAAGCCTCAAGTGTCTTGCTTCCATAGGATGTTGGTAGAACGTGGACATATCAGAAAGTGAAATAAAAACACATGTTAGTTTTACACAGCATTATCTACTGTTCTAATGTATTTGTTATTGTGTGAAATTTCAGCGATTATGTATACAAGTTAAATGTTCTTATATTTGTATTTAAAACTGGCATTGTACAATACAAAAACGAATGACAACATTCATGCTAATAATTTAAATTTAAATTTTTATTTACTTAGAATGACATTAAATAGCAAATGAAAAACCAACATGATAACTCGCGAGAGACCACAGCAGAAAAAGTTTTTTCCCTGTTTTTCGAACAAGAGACTTTGCATTTTCATTTTGCACTGAGCCTCACAAATTATGTAGCTGGGTATGGTCCTAAATATGGCAGAAAATAAGACAAGTGAAACCTGGAGTATTTCTTTGTGGATCAAATACAGTGGGACGTCTACTGGATCAGTTTTTCTATTCCTGGGGGAGCTCTGGTGGCATAGTGCCTAAGGCACTGCTAAAGCCACTAGTAAGGAAGGTTGGGCAATCTACTTCCATAGTGATACCGCCTTGGACCCAAGGAGGCTCGCTATGTGTTGGATCCAACTCCAAGGCAGTGAGGTTTTTTTTTTTGGTTTTGGGGTTGTTCAATATTTGTAGCTAAATTGGATAAAAAGACCAGATTAAGTTGAAGGTCCTTTCTAATCCTGAGATGACCCTGACTATAAAGCAAGACTAGGAGCTCTGGTAGCATAGTGGCTAAGACACTTGCCTGCTAACCAGACGGCTGGCGGTTCAAACCCACCAGTCACTCCTCGGAAGGAAGGTTGGGCAA